AGAGAGAGAGAGAGAGAGAGAGAGAGAGAGAGAGAGAGAGAGAGTCTGTGGATGCTTCTCAGATGGATCTGTTTCCTCCATCTGTCCCGGCAGAATACCAGATCCCTAACCACACACACACATACACACAGAGTTGTGGTTGTGTCTTAATTGGACTTACCCTTAAGTAATCTTACTCTAATCCTAACTGAAACCCAACTCTCTTCCAGCTATAATCTAACTTAAGTCTAACTTTAACAGGCAGGTGTGAAAAGAAAAAAGCACACTCATAACAGAAAAGATGGGAATAAAACATCTCAAATAAAAACTCAACTTGATTTTTTTTGTATACGTCCACCAGCTGTTAAACCTTATCCAAACCTTTTTAATTTGAGTAACAGATAAGTTGAGTTTCATACTGCCAGATTCTATTGCAGAATCTGCTGGGTATTATTGGATGGATGAACCCGTTGTGCATGTTTCAAACACAAGGACTTCCTCTTGTAGGACCAAAAGTACCTACAGATTCGAGGCCTCTATGTTAATTGGTTTAAAAAATACTATTTTGAGAGAAATGTGTGAGATGTGTAAAATGTGGAGCTGCCACAGCTGCTGTAGTTCTATAAAAAGCCTCGTGTAGATGAGGTCGTGAAATTGTACTTCAAAATTGATTTCGTTAAGGAAATTATTTCTCTTTTAGCACAAGAACAGTGTGGTGGGAGTTGAAAAGAAAGAAAACCCCACACAAACCTGGAAGAGTTGAAATGGCTGGCAGTGGACAGCTGTGAGAATATTGATGGTTACGCCCTCGTGCAATAAAGAGGATGTATGCGGTAGAGACACAATAAGACACAACGATCAATTTGTTTCCCTAACTTATCCACACGAGGCATTTTGTAGAGGGAACAGGAGCCATGGCAGATGTTTGGCTTTACATGACAACTGTAATCTCCGCATTTCAAATTTCAAATTAATCTTGAAATTTTGACTTTAATATAAAAATGGACATTCATTTTGTTTTCTTAATGTGGCCCTAATTCTCCATCATATAGTCTAGTGCAGGGGTGTCCAACTCCAGCCCTCGAGGGCCGGTGTCCTGCAGGTTTTAGATGTATCCTTGATCCAACACAGCTGATTCAAATGGCTAAATTACTTCCTCAGCATGTCTTGAACTTTTCCAGAGGCCTGTTAATGAACTCATCATGTGATTCAGGTGTGTTGACCCAGGGTGAGATCTAAAACCTGCAGGACACCGGCCCTCGAGGCCTGGAGTTGCCTACCTCGGTCTAGTGGAACATGTCTGAATGCCCTTCAGTGGAACAAACACTAGTTTCTTGGGGTTTTTTTTTCACTGCACCAACATTTAAGTACCAGCAGGAACCAGTAAAAAGTCTAAATGTTGTGTCATTCATACAGTAGAATAATTATCAGTGTTTCCTGAAAATGAAACTAAATTCTAGTACTTAGTTCAAGTGCCTGTTTGGCTCCAATTAAAGAATCTCAGTTCCTCCTTTTCAGTAGCTCAGACTGGTTTCCATGTTGTACACACAGGTCTTTGCAGTGTTCAGGTTTAACTGTTTTGTGTTTCCTTCCAGAGGAGCGACTTCTATTGTGTATCGCTGTGAGGAGAAACAGACCCAGAAGCCCTACGCTGTCAAAGTCCTCAAGAAAACGGTCAGTGAACCAGCATGATGGAGACTTTAGCAGTCCAACAATATATAACATGTGCACAGATGAGTCGAAACATTATTAGCAAGAAATGATGAAGAAAATAACGTAGACTGTCCAGTTAGAACAGTGCAAGTCAAAGTCTAGGAGCCAAAGTGTTGGTTTGCCAAACTGTGTTTGATGGGGTGGCTTCTGATTCTTGGTGGCTACCAATCCAACGTCCCGGACGAATCTGCTGCTAATATCTTTGTGATATACAGGAAACCTTCAAAAATCTGTAGGGTAACACTTCAGCAGAAGATATTTGTTATGTTTTGACTTATAAGGGTAAATCCGTCCATTCTGATCATGTTTCTTCTGTTGCAGATTGACAAGAAAATTGTTCGCACCGAAATCGGCGTTCTGCTGCGTCTTTCTCACCCAAACATTGTAAGTATATGCGTTTTCTCTCTATAACTGTAGGGTCTTTACCCTACATTATAGAGCACTTTGAGTAGTTTGGCACTATCTAAATTAAACTAAACTGAATCGAAAAGAGGGTTGAGTGCCTAAAATAGGTTTTGTGCCGAGCTGTAACGATGCTTGTTTAAGGGAATCTGTGGGAATTGGGTTGTTCTTGGACCCAGCCTTGGTTCCATTTGGCTGCAAACAGGTAAACGTTTTTCTGAAATGCATTTTCAAAACCATCAGAAACTTAAACGTGGATCTGCATTTGTAAAGAATTATTTGATGGGTGGAAATGGAAGTCTTAGCCCAGAGATCCACTAGACCCCAAATGATCTATCAGATGACAGCCAATAAGCTCCCAGGCTGTGAGCGGTCTAGTTCAAGTCAGGTCACTCGTAGAATATTTATATGTATTACTTAATCAAAACTTTCCTCCAGCTTTTAATGTCGTTGGATAAAAGTGTTGTAGAGTTGTGAACTTTCAAATCAAATTCAAATTTTATTTGTCACATACAGTCATACACGGTACGATATGCAGTGAAATGCTTACACAACTGCTCGTGACCTAAAGAAAAAAAGAAAAGGCTATGAATAAGAAATAAATATGAAAATTAAAGTTGAAAATAAAATAACTGTACAACAAAATACACAATACACATATAGAAATATATAAGAATGTATGAAGATATATATATATATATATATATATATATATATATATATATACTATATACAATACATACACTACACAACACACACACACATACACACACACACACACACACACACACACAACAACATTAATAATATATATATAATATATATAATATATATATATACATATATATATAAGATGTATAAATATAATATATATATACATACAATAACAGCAGCTGTACAAGTATTAAATGGAAATGAAGAAATATAATGTCCATGTGCTCCACATTTGTGTCTTGTGCAGTGCAGAATATGCTTAAAGTGATTTAGTGATGAAGTGATTCGATTAGATGACCACACATCTAATCGAATTAGTGTAAACAAAGTCCAGAATGTCCAGCGGACAACTTTGAGGAATTATTCTTGGTCCATTCATGTGAGTCACAAATAGTTGAAATAAGTGCAAAATATGAAAATATGGAAGAAAACACCAAAACAGACACTTCGGGTTCTGCCAGGACATGAATTAATGACTTAATTTATAATATGCAGAATAAATCAGTTCATTTTTATTGTTAAAGTTCATGTTCACCTGGTCTGGTGTGACTGAATAATCTCTCTTATTTTCAGTCGACTCTAAAATTTTCCCCATAAATCTCTCTTTTCTTTGTATCACTGATTTTAAACACGACCCTTTAATGTGAGCTAAAACACTTGTTTATGAGCTTGTAAGAATTTAGATTCAACTTTATTTCAATCTGAGCATGGCCCAGAGTTCATCTACCAAGTATGCGAGCTATAGCATGTATTCTAATATTTTATTTAAGACAAGACTGACGCATCAGTTCTGTTTTTCTTTTCTTAGTACTATTTTAAAAGCAGGTCGATGAACTGCACCACATCAAAGTACGTGATGTGTGGGCTTTTTTATTGTACTTTAAGTATTGAACTGTCTATTGTCTGTTTCATGTTTGTTTCTTTATTTGTTGAATCTGGGACAATGATGACTGGAAACATGAAAAAAATCTCGTTACTATGTTCCTGCTTGGAAAGTTCAAAAATACTTCAAAGTGTTTGCTCTTCTCAAGCATGTTTTAAGTGATATTGAGTGTTTATGTACCAGAGGCAGAATCAGTTGGTTTTGCCTTCACTATTAGTGCAGTTTCAGTTAGTGCCTGTTGTTTACCTGGTGGTTAGGCTTTGGCACTAAAAGCTACTTAGGCTTTAAAGGCTGGGTTTAGGCTCTGAAAGATCCTTGAAACAGGCCTAGGCTGGGATTAAGTTGTATTAATTAACATCTAATCCACCCTGAAATGGATTATTGGATGGAGGGATGGATGAATAGGAACAACTTGGTTAAGATTAGGTTCTATAAAGTGCTTAGTTAGGTTAGGTTTAGGTTTTACGCTGATAGATATTAGTAGGTTCAGACACTTAAAATCCTGAAATGGTTTAGGAAAAGATTGTGCTTATATCGTTCACATTAGAGTTGGGAATGACACAACCAAACCCAGGATGCTATTCTATACGACACCTTCATGTGTCACTGAGGAACACCAATGGCTTTGACAAAACTGGACATTTTTGCACTCTTACAGTGAATTATTCAATTACCAGTAATTTGAGCAAATAACAACAGTCCCACTGAAGTTCTATTTTTATATGGACATTGTTATTTACATATATGACTCTCAGTATTCGCTCATGCATTTTTAATATATTTCTGGCTTCTTGTGCTTTCCTGTGGCTCAGATCCAGCTGAAGGAGATCTTTGAGACAGACACAGACATTGCTCTGGTGCTGGAGTTGGTGACTGGAGGAGAGCTCTTTGACCGGTACGTACACACTCACATTAGCTGCTTTAGCTGTCCTACTGACATTGCTGTAGTTTTTGTGTTTAATTGAAAGTATCACTGGTTGGCTTAGTTTGAGAAATCTTTGATTACAAGTTGGGCTGTAGTCTGCAGTTCAGTTACAGTAGCTGTTGTGCAGTTGTAATGGCAGTAGTTGCTGTGCTGCATTTGTTACATTAGTTTCAGTGGTGTGTGTAGGTATATGCATTGCTGTATCATCAGTGGTTGCACATGCTGCATCAGTTGTGTTGGTTGGTCAGTTGCAGGTGTTGATCGAGATGGTGAATAGTGGAGTTTGGCTCGATCCATTTTGTTGTTATGTTTAGTTACAGATGTTGAGTTGGTGTGTTTAGATTTGCTGCAGCAGCTGTTGTGATTGGTGGAGTAGCGAAAGTTGCAATCGTCTATTTTTGGTATATGGTTTTGTTCAGGGTTGGCAGTGTGGCTGTAGTGGCAGAGGCTGGTTTTGCTGCAAAAGTTGTGATGTTTGGTTGCTATAGTTAAGAGCACAATTCCTGCTAATGAACCAATCACTTAACTTGGCAGTTTTCCTGTAGTTGCAGTGGTTGCCATGGTTAGATGTTGCTGTACTTTGGGTGTTTTAGGAGTTGCTGTGTCCGGTTACAGACGTTTCTGTAACTGAAGTTCTATGTTTGGGCACAGAGGCCCCTGTGTTAAGTTACTCATGCTGTTATTAAAGAACTTGTCATGTTTACTGGAGGTGTTACTGAAGTTTCCGTGTCAGCGATTGGTCATTTACATAAATTAACATGTTTAGTTGAAGCAGGTGTTGCTGTGTTTCGATGGCGTTGTTGGTGTAATGTGATGTGGTTGTTTTGACTGCATAAGTTGCCATTTTTACAGGCTACAACTGCAACAGCTACAGCGGTTTGCTCATTTTGTCCTGAGACTTCCAAACTGAGATGCAAAAGTCAAAGAGAATGAAAGTACTAACAGCTTGTTCCAACATCTCTGTTGGAAAACCGAACCAGACAAACACGTACATTAGTAAAGTGTAACCAATCAGAGAACAGATAAAGAGATGCTGCTCTTGATTTTCATGTCATTTTATCTTTGACTGTATTTTTGTTTCCAGGATTGTGGAACGTGGCTACTACAGTGAGAGAGATGCCGCTCATGTCATCAAGCAGATTCTGGAGGCTGTGGCGGTAAGATGCTGTATTCAGTGTCTGGTTTGACTTTGAGAGCGTTTTATTAAATTGTAATAAAAAATTGAATTATTGTGGAAACAAAGGCCTCTACAGGCTATGAGCAATGAGAGGAACTACAGAAATCCTGAGAGGAATTACAAAAACAGACTCTTTGCCTATAAATAACCTTTACAGGCCCAAATGCTGCTGTTATTAATTTAAAACCAAAAGTTTAGTTGCTGTACTTCCCATGTTTAATCCCTGGTGCTGCCTTTGTTACAGTAGTTGATGTACTTGCAGGAGAGGCTTATTTTTTGACCTGTGTTTGGTTACATGTGTTGCTTAAATTGGTTGGCTTAGTTGGAGTGGATTCCTTGTATAGCTGTAGGTCTTGCTGCCACTGCAGGAGCTGGTTTCATGGTTGTTGTTTGGTTGCAGTAGCTTCCGTGCTGCAGGTGCTGCTGATACTACAGTAATTGGTTTAGTTGCACAGTAGTGATGCTTAATCACATTTTCAGTAGTCGCAGGTTTATTTAGAGTGGCTGCTGACAGCTGGCATTGAGGCTCAATTTGATCTATTTGGCTGGTGTTGCTATACTTCGTAACTGCTTGGTGTGGTTGCAGCAGTTGCTATGTTTAGTTGCAGTTTCCTCCGCTGACGCGTGGTTGTTTGGCTGCATTATTTTGCAGTAGTTGCCATATTTATTTCCAGCTTCTGTCATTCCACTAGTTTGTTTGTTTGATGTGGTTGCTATGTTTAGTTACAAGTGTTGCATCAATTGCCATGTTTGGTTGCAGGTGCTTCTTTTGATGTAGTCGTTAATTCAGTTGCAGTAGTTTCCACGTTTAGTTTCTTTTGACATGCAGTAATTGCTGTTATTTTAAGGCTTAAAATGGAAGAAGGTCTGGGAACCTGAGCTCTGTCTGGGTTTTCTGCTTCTGATCAATCAGCTGCAGCGTCTCTGCTGTCTGTGGATCATTTACCTCCATCCACCCCTCTGCTCATTAGATTACTGCTCGCCCCCACCAGCTCTGCTCAGTCTCTGCAGCCTCACACCAAACCTCAGCTTTAAACAGTCTGTTTATAGATCTGAAAGGTTTCATGGAGAGCAGGTCGTCAAATCCGTAGAGGCAATGTATGTAAAATTAAATCAACACTGTCAAAGGTGTTGGGCTTTTATCCTCATCTGATGGAGCTAATTTACCGTTTTTTTTGGTCACAGGCTGACTAGAAACGTATTAAGCTGATATTTATCTGAAAGAACTAGATGTGACATTTCATTAGCACAGAAACATTATACGGCTCTAACAGGAGTCTGCTATCTTGCCATTCAGAAGAGGATTTTTTTCCTCGTGTAGGCGTGAGCCCTCCTCCAACTGATGAATCACAATCTTCCTGTTTCTCAACAGATTTGATCAAACGTTGAAGTGGCAAAGAAATCATATTTAAAGGTCAGCGTGCTATGCTTAATACAAAACCAAGAAGCATTCACTGACATGCTTATACAACACTGTACTGAACACAGACACACAGAATGAGCTGATTAAAGAAGCGAGTGAATCATAATAACATGTCATTATTGCCAGCATGAGACATCCCAATCTTTTGATGATCGTATGAAGCTTTTTGTTGCAGCTGCGGTTCTTTCTGTAATCATAATGCAAAACACACTCAGGCTGAGAGGCGTGTCTGCCTGTCAAGGCAAACTCAGGGGACCCAACACAGGTGTTGATGTGTTTATACTGTTGATGTATAAACATACTGTTG